CACACTTCACTACAACAATATCAAATATATATATAGATAGTAGCAAGTTCGATTACTCATAACGTTTAAGATTTTTTAATACTAACAAAACAGTAATTGAATATAAATATTAATAGATATTTTATAAAATAAAAAAATATTTAAAAAGAAACACCAATAGTAACACAGACTCTTTGTTAAACGATATCACAACTTAGTGTTAAATTAAAAATTTTGCGACTAATCGCAAAGTTAAGTATATAAGGTATCTGAGAACGCTAAAGATTATTTAGATTTATCAAAAATTATCTTGGATACCCAAAATTACGTTTGGATTGCTGACGAATTACCTAGCCCTTGTACAAAAATTATCTTAGTAACCTATCCCTCTGATTATTTTGTCTTTTAAATTATGTTAATTTTTATTTATTATTTTATCTTTATTATCTTATTTGTTTGACTTCATTTTTATTGTCTTTATTTAAAACAATAATAAGTAAAAGAACTCTTTAAATTTAAAATATTGTCTTTATTAAATTTCTAGCTTGATTTATTATGTACAAAACGACAGGATGTAATATATAATCTTTTGGACTGGCCTACAAAAGCCTCTGCTCGATTAGTAGTTATTACTATTGCTAATACTATGGATCTTCCAGAAAGAGTTTTAATGGGTAGAGTGACGTCGCGATTAGGTCTTACTCGAGTAACTTTCGAACCATACAATTATAAACAATTGTATGAGATAATACTAATCAGACTTAAAAACACAGACATTTTTGAAAATGAAATTATACAATTAATTGCACGGTAAGCATTATTTAAAATAATATTTTAGCATGGCCTTTTTATTTAAATTTTTTAAATTTAAATATTGAACTAATAATATATATACTTTAAATGAATGTATCTTAGAAATATGATTGCACGCCGTTACTATCGGACTTTTAACACAATTCAATTGAAATATTAATAATCCTCCAAATTTAATATATGTATGTATTTAATATATTTGAGTGGCGTTTCTCGTACTTAGGTGATGTAAGTCACATAAACGATCTTGTTTCCAATCTTATTATTATTTCTTTATTTAAATACTCGATATTGACATATTTTATGTGTGTATCTATATTTTTATTGATGCATAACTTTATTATTACCAAATATTTTTAAAATGCTGAGCTCATTTTTATTAATTCTATGAATTATACTCATTTTTTTATAATAGTTAATTTTTATAATGAAATTAATAAAGTTTGATTAAATATTGTAAGCGCATCTTGTATTTTGTATTTTAGTAAAGTATCTGCAGTATCAGGCGATGCTCGCCGCGCTTTGGACATTTGTCGTCGAGTGGCAGAAATTACCGAAACACGCAATAATACTACAGTAAGCGTACAAGATGTAAATGAAGCTTTGTCGGAGATGATAATAAATCCAAAAGTTCAAGCAATAAAACATTGCTCAAAATTCGAGCAAATATTTTTGCAAGCCGTTTGTGTAGAAGTCAAACGAATTGGCGTGGAAGAAGTTTGTTTTATGAATGTTTATAGACAATTCGAATCTTTATGCTCCTTCGATGGTTTGTACAAAAAGAATTTATTAATAAGAGAATGTGTGAAAAAAGAATTATACTATTGCAATTTTTGCTTCTAGGTTACAAAATACCTAATATTACTCAAACTCTTGATATTTGCGCAAAACTGGGTGATTATAGATTGCTAATATGCGAATATGCAAGTAATGATATACATAAAAAAATTTTATTAAACGTATCAAAGGATGAGTTGCATTATGCGCTACAAAAAATTGATTTTGATTAAAGATACGCAAAATATGTCTAATTTATTATTATTAATTTTTGTTCTTAATTTTATTTATTATGCAAAACAACGTAGTGCGTTTTTTTTATGAATTACAATATTACAATTTACTCATTTCTAGTTCATACAAATATATATTTGTCACACATATTGTAATAAAAAATTTATTAAAATATGAATACAGTTTCTAACGATTTCATTTTCTATCAACATGTTATGTTGCAGGAAAATTGTATTTATTGAAAGAATATGTTCAAAAATATACAAGATGTATCTTAAAAAGCGTCCATGAATCACATAGTGTTATTCACTGATCAAAAATTGAGTTTAAAACTTATATGAACCATATGACAATTTTCGCAATAATTAACGAGATATTACAACAAACAATTTTAAGATATTTTTACCGAATTTCCTCTTAAAAACATATTCTTTAGGTAATTTTGAAACGAAAATTTTAATACGAGAATGTCGAGGCTAGAATAATTTTTTGAATTATAAGCTAACTTTAAATGCTTATAAGTAAAAAACTATTTATACTTTTAGAGTCTCTATTATTATTTCTGATTCTTTTCGGATTCTTTTGAATATTATAAGACGAAAATGTTAATACGAAAATATCGAGGCTGTAATAGTTTTCGAATTACACACTATCTTTAACCAATTATAATTCAAAAACTATTGTAACCTCAACATTTTTGTATTAGGATTTTCGTTTCAAAATTACTTCAAAAATATGTCCTTAAGAGGAACTTTGGTAGTTTTGTGAGACACCCTGTATATGTCAAATAAGATGTCTTATAATGATTATGAATTTGTAACTAAGAAGATAGTCTTAAGCAATGATGGATAAGATACTCTTAAGATTTAGATACAAATATAGTAATGTTTGCTCATTCTACCATCTACTAGTAATACTTTATTAATGATGAACACATTTTTTCGAAAATTACAACAAATCATGAATTTAACTTTATCTTTATCTGATTTTGAGCGTCACGCGTTAACCGACGC